AAAAATGTTAAACTTAAAGGTAAACTCGCGAGTTTAACCGAGTTTATATCTAGTCTGAGTTTATGAATAAGTTAACACGATTTTATAAGCTGAAAAGTAAAAATGTTAAATTTATAAAATTAACTCAAGAATTTGACAACTATAATTATAATAATTCAAGAACAAACAATAAAGAAAAAAAAACTCACAATAGTTATTTTTGTCAGCTGTCGTGAAGATGCACGAAAATATGTTAGCTCAATTAGATTAATGTCATATAAGGTCATTTACTTAATGCTTATTTTACTTATCTTGCACATTAATGTATTTATACTTGACGAGTCATGGCGTAAAATTAATGGTATTAATGGATCTTGAATGTTTATAGTTCTTTGCCTATTTGAACTTAAATTTGTGATTAATTATTGTAAAAATGTTTATAACAATAGTAATAACTGGATATGGGTCTCATACATATTGCATAGAGTTTAAGAAAAAAAAATTTAGATACACCTAATACACCACATGATCCATTATTCATCTAATAAAATTATACTAATTCAATCAAATAAAATTATATGTGTCATTGTTTTAATGACTTTATTTTTATTATAAAACATCTGTTTAATTTTTTATATTTTCTCTCTCTACTATTATTAATATTTGGATTAATTTATATTAGGTTAATATATAATTTAAACCCTACACTTTTAAAAGATACATTTTAAACTTTAAATAATTAAAGTTAAAGTAATTTTATCCCCACCATTAAAATTCAACAAATGTTTGTTGGTTTTTTAAAAATCAAGGCTTAATATGTTATCTTCAACAAATTACACACACTCTCTCTCTTTTACTCTCACTTGGTGAAAATCGCACATTAGTTTTCATTTTAATAAACACTTGTTTATATTTAATGGTAGGATAAAATTGCCTCAATTTTAATTGCTTATGATTCAAAATATACCTTTTAAAATTTAGTGTTCAAATTATCCCTGAATCTATAATTTAAAGTTTAAATTAAATATTAACCCATTTATATTTAATATTATTTAAATGTTATATTTTTATTGAACAAATCAAAGATGACATAGTGCACTGGGTATACTTTAAGAACTCTAAAAAACTACCATTACTTTGTTACATTGATATTAATACTTTATATAACTATGCAGTTTAAAAATGGGGAAAGATGATACAAGATTTTCATTCCTAACAACATAGAACATAGATATTATTAAATTTAGAATAAGATGGGAACATATGTATTAAAAAATATCTACTAATAATTCGATCCACAAGAAAACAATCTAATTCTAATTATATCTTCATTGTCTGACAGCATTCATGTCTCTCACAAGATGTAAGATATAGTTTTTCATTAAATTTTTTCATGTTGCTTTTTACATAATAATTTCTCCAAATCATTCCATCAATAATTAATAAAGACAAAAAATCAACGAAATAAAAAAAAAAAACGAGAGACCGACAATTTACTCGCCGCTTAGCGTTGACCTTTAAAATTATTGAATATATTTGTGAATTCATAAATACAAGAGTACGATTTTATATTAGTTTATAAGTAATTAACAGGTTAACTAAATATCATAATTTTGCATTTAGATATAGGTCCGTTTGGATTTTAACCAAATCCATGCTCTGGATATATAAAAATTTATACAGGTTCATATTTTATTATAATTTTTTTATAATTTTAAATTTCTTCTACACCATAACTAATTATTTAACTGTTATTGCTAGTCTTTCACTTTCATTTACCATCTTTTGCTTTTATTGTTTTTTATTTAAATTTTTTTATGCGATCTAAATAAAGAATTTTTAATACATTAATTTTGAATGTAAAGTTTTAAATCTAAAATCTAATTTTAAATTTATTAATCCAAACATTAGGTGAGACCTGCTTAAATTAAGCTTCTCTCTCCTTTTTGTTTCCGGGTAATCATCAACAACCCTTTTTAAATTTTCTTCTGGCAAAAAAAAAAAAAAAGAATCAACAACCCTTTCTACGAAATTAGAGTCTTGAGATTTAAAAATCAGTTGGAAATAGTCCCTTCCTTGTCACGTTTGAAGAGATCCAAAAAATGCTGGTAAACAATATAGTTTACCTACTAGTTTGTGAATTGAAAACTCAGAGCAATGAATATAATATTGGTGTATGTCGTAATGTAATTGGAGACTTTTTTTTTTTTTTTTACGTTCAAGTCAACTTTTCTCATTGAACTTCTTTGCTCGTTAACAAGCATTTAACGGTCAAATCATTAGAAACATGGGCTTTATAACTAATTTTAATAATTTCCTCCCGGTTAATTTGCTTTATGTAGCTACAGATAGGCACCCTATTTTCTTTTGCTGTTGAAATGCCAATAATAGTTATCATGGGGTTGACACGTAATTTAAATTTTAAAATTTTAAAATGTATATTATAAACTTTAAATAATTAAAATTAAATTAATTTCGCTCTTACAATTAAATTTAAATAAATATTCATTAAATTAAAAATTAATGTGTGATTTTTATCAAATGAGAGTAAGAGAAAGAAAAAAAGTAAAATTTGATAAAATTGCATATTAAATTTTAATTTTTAAAAAACTAACAACCTTTTGTTAAAAGTTAATAGTAAGATAAAATAGTCACAATTTTAATTATTTAAAATTTAAAATATATTTTTTAAAATTAAAGGACTTATAAATTTAAATCTTTTATTTTCTGTTCAAACAAATGTTTGTTTCTTCAGTTTGTTCATATCCTTTGGTGTTTATTTACTGAAACCTTCGTATTCTCGTTTTCTATGTGGACAAATACCATGGCATTTGCAATTACTGCGAAGCAACCTTGGTGTTTTTTGGCTGAATTTTTTTTTTTCCCGTTTGTAGTGTTTTTTAATAATATTTATATTTTCATCAGGGAAAAAACTACAAGGTTAAGTTTATGGAATTTTAGAAAATCATGTATTCTCTTTGTCTTAAATTATAAAATATTTTAGATAAAATTTTACATTTCAATAAAACTCATTAAATATATTTTACAACTTTACTTTTTCAAGATAGAAATATAAACTTTTAAAAATATTATTTATTTAATATTTCACTAATAAAAAAATATTAAAGAGAGAGAATATATAAAAAATGTAATGTTAGAAAATTATTGTTAATAAAATTTTATTTTTATTAAAATGTCTTATATTTTAAAATATTAAATTTTTTTATAAAACGAAGAGAGTAATGATCAATTAAATGCTTTAATATGTCTTTCTCAGAATTCTCAATTAATCTATTCAAATAATGGATCTGCCTAGTGGAATTTTCAAAGATGTTTTGGCGGAAATTTCAGAACTCACTCTCCTCACTGACTCCTATTCTCAATATTCGATGTAAATGATGATTTCGATTTAAAAAAGGAGTACCGTGACTTCAAGAGCAGATTAAGGGCCTGCTTAAAATTATTTTTATTTTATTATTTTAAAAAATAATATTTTGTAAAATATATTTTTAAAATAAAAGATAATAAAAATGGATGTTTTTTTCACCCTCCATTATTCTTCAAAATAATAATCTTAGAACATCGAAAAGATGGTTTTATTTTTTTATTTTTCAGAACAATATGGTTTTTTATTTTCTAAAATACTTTTTAAAAATACATTATTAAATAAATTTTTTTATCTTTTTATAGTGGAGAATAAAAAACTGTTCTCAAAATAGATTGCTAAATAAGTCTTAAATTGTAAGTGTGGACATGGGCATCAATAAATATTTGAACTTAATTTTCTTGTATTTGTATATTGAATTTTGTTCAATTATATTTAGCAAAGATCAATAAAATAACCACATAAAAGGAATATCATAATTTCACCAAATAATTTAAATTATTAAGTGATAATTCCAAATACACTTAATCACACTAAAATTCATATTTTAAACATAAAAGCATGTTCCCCCTCTCATAATAATATCAATCCTTTAGATCCCTGTCCCCTCCTTTTTCTTTTATTTTCTAATTATATCATGAAACATTGAATCCTTGATGATTATCTATGTTTCACCTCATCCTCACAATTTGATCTGATCCGATGCAGTTTTCCTTTTATTTATTTATCTTGACGCTAGATATTTTTGGCCATAAAGAACATCAAGATTATAATATTACATTTATTTTATTATCACTAAAAATTAAAAAGCATTGTTGTTAGTGAAAAAGGTTATTTCACCGTTGGATGACTAAATTATTCAAACTGCTGTTGACCATGGTTTTTTGTCATCATAATCGCGTGTGTAATAACAATACTAAAGTGGCAATGGTAATAATAATATTTTCTCTATTTAAAAATATAAATTATTTTAATCAAGACACGTTATGATAATTTTTTTAATTAATATAATTTTTTTATATTTAATTTTATTTAATATAATATTTTATTTAGATGTGAATGATTTACTAGTTTATTTATTAAATATATTTTAAAAAATTCATTAATTACCTGTCTAAAAATTAAAATTTCCTTATATTTAAAAATATTTAATTTAATAATAAAATAAATAATTAAATTAAAATAGAGAAAGTAAAATTCCACTTGCCTACTCCAGACAGCGCAAAGTCCTAGAGCAGGGGGTCGTAAATGGATGACAGTGGACCGAGTAGTGGGATCCACGGCAAGGCAAGTGGGGAGGCCCACATCGTGGACTTGTCTCCTAATTAAAATAAGTTTTTTTTTGACAGCTCATAATTGATTTCGCAATGTTTTCGTGAAAACCGTTACCGGTAACTGCCGGTGAAGCTGTGGCTCCTATTCCTACCAACCTTTTCCCCAATCCTACCGTTAGATCCCGTTTCCGGGTTTTCCATTATATAATTTTCATTTTGTAATGTCCCATTCGGCCGGCTTAGCTGCCGTTTTGGATCCATTTTCTATGGGCTGACGTCACCATCTCCTTGCCTTTGTTCCCACTCTTCACGAAACTTCCTTCGACTTTCCCCTGTTTCGAAACCCTAATTTCTTCCCTCTCTCCTTCTCACTCTTCTTTCAAATTCACCCTTATTAATTAATTAATTATTAATAATAACTATAAATCCCTTTCAATATTCCCTCCTCTATCTTCTTCTCATTTCTGTACTCGCAGAGAGAGGGAGATCGAGTATTTGCTCATCCAGGCACGCGCGGAAGCGAAGATAAGCGAAGGCAAGCGATAACTTGGGAGGGAAAAGCAGGGTTTGAATCGGGTTTCGGCGAGAGATTGAAACATCAAGGTGATATGGAGAGATTGGCGTCGGCGAAGGCCACGACGCCGTGTGGGTATGTGAGCTGGGAGGAGGTGTTTGTCTCAGGCGGCGAAAGCAAGGGAAGGAAGGAGGTGCGGTATTTTCTCAAAAGAAGAAATGGGAGCTCAGATCTGGCCGTGGTTGGGAGAGAAAAGAGCACGAGGCACATGTCTTATAACTATGCTGTTAGAGATGAGGTCCTTGCTTTCATTGGGTCATCGACATCTTCGTTATCGCTATTGAAGCTCAAATCACGCAGAGACGTTATTGATTGGTTGAATTCCATTGTTTCAGGTTCCTACGCCTCATCCCTTATCATTTTCTCAAAGTTTTCGTCGCCCGTTCCAAAGTCTAAAATTTCTTTTTCGAGTTTCGGGATTCTCATTCAAATTCTTATCTGGGGTTTCATTTGGTATTGGTATACGACCAATATCAATAAAGCTATGAAATTGGGATTGATTTCAATGTCTCCGAATGTTCTCGTGCTGTCTTTGTGATTTTCTTTTGGCCGGCTGGTCGCTTTTAGCTGAAGGGTGTTTCATCCTTTTCTCCTCATCCAGTTTTCATGTCTTGACCATAGTCTATTGTATCTTTATGCGATTCTATTTGCTGTTCGGGGCGGCGTGGTAGAACTCCTTGTAAAATTGAGTTTCACTGGGGCTGTTCGCTATTCTCTCCCTACAAGGTTTTTCCGCCAGTTTTTGCATGGGTTATTTTGTCTGAGACATCTAAACCTTCGGTGGATGTCTGTCTGGTTGGGCACCTGCGTAGCGTTCCTTATCGCATGGGATTTCAAGCCTCTCTGTCTGAAAGTACCTTTTTTTTAATAAAATTTTCGATCTTTTAAACCATAAAATTCTATCTCGCTTATTTTTGCAAAATTTTCTTGCGATATGTGTTGTATTATTTCTATTTAATGTGGTTTACTGTGCGTTGCCAAATCTGTGTTTTCTCTAAAATTTGCCAATTAATTTTTCAGATTCACAGCGCGAGGATGCGTCTGTCAGGGAACAAAATGGTGGCAGTAGACATGTCATGGAAACCTTGAAGGTATTTGATTACGCAAATCTACAATGATCCCCCTAGCATCTTCCTGTGAACTTCTTGCTGTATGTTGAGCTCCTGGTTTTGTTATTTTTTCGCTTTCTCATTTTCTATTTCGGGTTTTCAGGATAATCAATTGCGCAAGTTGGGCCATTGTGCAAAAGAGTTCTCATGGTTAGGGTCTTCGTGGACCTGTAGGAAGCGAAGACAGCACTACAAATCATTTATATGGAATGGTTTAAAGATATCTGTGAGTATTCATGTTTTTTATTTGCGGTTTTTCCCCTTCCCTTGGCCTTACATAATATACAATCTGACTGTTATACTCCTTTTTTCATTTCCTTTGACTTGTCAAAACATTTTCAGGTTTATGATTTCGTATATGTTTTAGCAGAAGAAGATAAACGTCTCGTTGCCTACTTGGAAGACATGTATGAGGACTCCAGAGGCAATAAGATGGTTATGGTACGCTGGTTTCACAAAATTGATGAGGTTGGTAATTTTTTGCCTCACAGTTTTAGTGACAGAGAGATTTTCTTTTCTCTTTGTCTTCAAGATCTGAGCATCGAATGCATAGATGGATTGGCTACTGTACTCAGTCCCCAGCATTATGAAAAGTTTCAGAACGAAGCAAGACATACCATGTTGGAACCGTTTGTCTGCGACAATCAATTTGACAATGATGATGTTAAGCACTTTGATATAACTCAAGTTAAAGGTTACTGGAGACAGGAAATACTCAGATACATGTATACCCTTTCTGACGCAAAATCTAATGGAAGTTCTCAGCAGTCTGATGATAAAGTGGAAGTAGAGGACCTCCAGTTTGCATCTGGGATGAGACCTAACAAGAGGTTGCGATGGGCAAAAGTTGATGGTGAAGGTGCTGCTATTGAAATGGGAACTCTGAATGATAGTCGAAATGAAACTAAAAGAAAAAATGGAAACGATTCCTTAAAACAAGTTCGCTTTACAGCTGGCAAAGAGACAAAAAAGAACACTTTACAGTATTTAGCTGTAGGTTCTCAGGTTGAGGTCCTCTCTCAAGACAGCGGTATTAGGGGCTGCTGGTTTAGAGCTTCTGTCATAAAGAAACACCAAGATAAAGTGAAGGTGCAATATCAAGACATTCAGGATGCAGTTGATGAAGCTAGGAAGCTTGAGGTAACTTCCATGACCACTGACTTACTATAATTTTCTTAAGAACAATTGCGTGGTTGCTTTAAGCTTGAAATTTTTTTCTCATTGTTCTTTTGTCATCCAGGAATGGGTTTCAGCTTCCAGAATTGCAGCACAAGACCACTTGGATCTCCATTTGAATGGGCGTGCTAAGATGCGCCCGGCCCCTCAGTCTAGTCAGTGTAAGGTTTCTGGGATGGTTAATGTTGGTTCGGTTGTGGATGTCTGGTGGCATGATGGTTGGTGGGAAGGTATCGTTGTTCAGAAAGAGTCGGAAGCTAGGTGTCATGTTTATTTCCCAGGTACAGCAAACAATTCTTTCCTCTTGTTAGCTCTTATCGATTTTCATAAATTTTTGTTCCCGGGGGCATCTTTATTAGTTTTGGTTCTATTCTGTTAACGTCTATTCATTGGTACCTCCTCTTTGCAGGAGAGAAGTTAGTGTCAATATTTGGATCTGGTGACTTGAGACCGGCCCAGGATTGGACAGGGAGTGGGTGGTTGCAAGTGCGGGAAAGGCCTGACCTAGTTAGTTCTATATTATCCAGCTTAAAAACATCACAAGATCCCAGCAAATCAAATGCAGTTGCATCTGCCGGAGATGCCAGGCATTCAAAGCAAAGTGGGAATGATACTAACTTGAATTCTGAAAGTGACAGTAAATCAAGAAAGCCTGAGCTGGTTCCAGACCTTTCAAAGGACGATATACTTTCTCAGTTAAGATGGAAGTCATCTAGGAAGAGGGGACGCAGTAGCAGCACCAGATCAGGTCGAAACAGCTGCAGAAAGTCACCGGATTCCTCAGACCCCCAATCTTCTGACAGTTATATGATCGCGGCATCCTTGAAAGTGGTCGATCATGACGACTTCAAATACGGCAGGGGTGATCAAGCTATTTTCAGCTCTTCAGTGGTGCCCTCTTTAACTAACTTGGTCATGTGTAGGTGACTTTTGTGAACTTTTATATATACACATTTATATACTAGGTTTGCTAGTCTCCTTGGTCTCCCCACTCTGTTTTCTCAAAAAGTACATACATAGCATATACTCTCCCCTGCATCTTTTCGATGCATGCCTGCTCTTGCGTGTTAGGTCAAGTTTTGTTATTTATTTTGGGCAATCTTTTGGCATCGAAGCTTCAGTTGATTTTGGTGCTTGTATGGAATGTGGAAGCCCGAGGGAGGCAAGGATGATGCCTTAAAGTTTTGGCTGGAAGTTTTTAGGCGTAGTGCAATAACCGTGGTTGTCTCAGAGTGACTTAGGTTTTGTTTTGATATGCTGAAGTGGAATTTGTTACCTAACCATATATTTAATAATAAGAATAGAGAGATCGCCCCTTTTATTTAGCTTCTCTCCTTGTCTATTTGTGCTTTTAATTTCAGTTCTATATTTGTGCTTTCTAATTGAGTAATTGGTAGTCTTTTATCAAGATGTAGAATACAGTCAACAGTTGACTCTTTGTTTGCCAAAATCTCGGGCTAAACGAAAGCATGAGTGCGTCCTTTTAACCACAAGGACAAAGGATTTGTGAACTGAATGAATAGGAGAGTATGACTCCGTCTTCTTGCTCAATTTTTTTTTTGGGCAAGTATAAGCAGTATGCTCTGCCGGCAGTAAAGGATATTTCTCCATATTGAGAGCAATGAGTAGATTTTTTTAAAAATAAATTGTTATGCATATAAGGGTTGAGATTTGAACTTCTGATTGCGTGCTTAATGGTGAAAGTCTTTATTCAGGCTGCCTTTAGTTGGTTTTTTAACTTGATTTTTTTAAAAAAATTATTAAATTTAAATCATCAAATCAAACTCAATTAAACAGTTCAAATCTAATAATACTTTTTTCATTACAGCGATGGAAAGCCAAACCCCCCACCCCCAAAGGGACATATATCTTAGTGATTGTTTGGATTTTGGTTTAAAATCAATTAATTGTATGGAAATTATGTTTTAGTAAAGATTACGTAAATACTTTTCTTATATGTTAAAATTAATCATGAATTTAACACCGCGTTTTCTTAAAAATATTCAAATTTTACTATGCATACTACAATTAATTATGAATTTAAAATCATAATTTTTAAAAAATATTCAAATACCTCTTATTATTTCAAAATTAATTTTGAAACAGAAAATAAAATTTTAAAATAATTTATATAATTTTTGGATGAATTTTTCAAAATGTATAATTGAAAAATTAAATTGAAAAGTAGGCAGTAGTAATTTATGAGATAATAATGGCTTTGAGTTTATAATTGATTTTGACATGTGTGAAGATGTCTAGATATTTTTAAGAAAATCATGATTTTAAATTTATAATTAATTTTGACATGTATAATAGGTGTTTGAATTTTTTTTTGAAAACATGATTTTAGATTCATAATTAATTTTAACTTATAAGATAGTAGATGTTTGGAATTTTCTTATAAAACAATGGTTATACCTTATTTTAATTCTATTTTTTAATTTTAATTAAAATTAATTATATACCACATAATATAATCAATCATATTTCAAACCAATCATATTAATTATTTTTTATAATTAATTATATGAAATTCAAACATACTACTTTGGGTCTCTAATGCCATACTCTGATGTTTAGCATAAGTTGTAATGCCTCAGCATCTCAATCTTTTTTTTTTTAATCATCAGATTTTACATAAAATGAAAAAAATTTTGGCATCTTAATGAAATGGTTCGGTGCAATTTTGTATTTTTTTTATAGAAAAATGCCTCAAAATTTTGTATTTTTTGTTTTTAAAAATTGAAAAGGAAAAAGTTCATTACTTAAAGTTTAAAAACATGGGCAAGGCCAGTTTTAATTCAATTTATTATCACACGCGTCAGTTGAGAGATACTTAAAAATTAAAACAATTTATCAATTTGATGAGCTGTCAATCAATTTTAGAGACAAAGCGCTGCAAATAAGATCTCTTCAATAAATTGAAGGATTAAGATTAATACGATCGGAGAAGAGTTAGAAAGTATTTTATTTTATTTTTTCTTTTAAAACACGAATCTCTAATTTTGCGCTAGAATCATTGTTAACGCAAACATGCACTTGATTTGATATCTTAATTAAGTGAGAGCTATTCAGATCCCTTAATTACTTTAGAGGCAGTGAAAATTGGTAATTTTAGATTCATTCTCCGTATATCACATATTTTAATGTAAGATTATGCTCAGTCTAATTTTTCAAAAGAATCCCTGACCTTTATGAATTCATATTTTGAAGAAGTGTATTTTGTGTTCAAAAATTAGATTCATGTGTCCAGCTGGTTTTGATTATTAAAAATATTTTTTATTTGATCAAACATTCAAAAATATGAGGTAACTGAAAATGACATGAATCATCTCAATGTAAACCAAAAGAAAAACCATGAATATATATTGAAAAATCAGTATCTATACCATCTATGTATCAATAAAAATTCCCATAAATCATATTATTTACTCCTTCAGTTTAAAAATATAATATATTTTTTCAAGAGTTGGATGTTAAAAAATATAAGGTATTTTTAATTTTTTGAGGTGTAATCATTATTTTTTTTCAAAAGTGTCCCTATTAATAATGATTTTATATTTATTATAGGGTATTTAATAGGACTAAATATAAAAAGATAAGGTTAGTTGAAAAGTAAATAATTACTTTATTAAGAGATGAGATTCGATTAAAAATATTTTATATTTTTAAATAGAAGAAATATAAGTCATGAATAATATAGAAATTCTTTTAGTTGAAAACATAAGATAAACATGAAAATTAACAAAGACTTGTCAAATGGTTTCTTCCTAATTGGTTCATACAATATTCAACTAAAATTATAGAGACGAAGACACGTACAGTCAACACAAGAGGCTTGGTATACAGAGAGTAGTTAGCATTTGACTAATTTAAAAGATCGGCATGAGGTGTATATTGAGGCTTGCATAGAGTTTGAATAGTATGCATCGTAGTACAAGTGGAGCGAGAAAAGTAGAATGTTAATGCCAGACAATGACCACTAATTACAATAAACCAAAGAAATTAAGGAGCCTTCATTTTGACTTCTGTTCCTTCCAGAAGGCCCTATTCTTCTCCAGGTTGGATCCAATGCGTCTCATTATCACCGCTTTTGGCATCTTAAGTTCCTTCTTCTTCCTAAATCTTTCTCATCTTCTAGTGAATACATAGACTTAACCTACCCAGATTGTTAGAAAGGAGTAAAATGAAATAAAATAAATTGAAATAGTTAAAATAAAAATGAGGTAAATCACCTTTACTCTCATGATAAATATGATAATGCTCATTAATATATACTCCCTCCATTTTTATTTGTAAGAAAAAAACTGTATCACACAAATTAATAAAGTTATTTAATTATATTAATTGTGTCTGAAAATAAAAAATTTAAAAGTTTACAATAAATAATAAAATTATGAGGGATAATTTAAAAAGTTTGCAATAAATACTTATTGAAAAATGTGATTTTGTTTATATAAAAAAGAAGCTAAAATTGATAATTTTTCTATAAATAAAAATAGAGAAAGTACTATAAATATGAGAATTATCACACCCTTCAAAATTTTATGAATTATAATTCATAATTTTGTAAACTAAATTACTTCTTTCTCTTATAAATGTATTTTCATATCTCCTTCGATAATTTTATTTTTACATTTATTTTTTCAATCGATTTCATTTCATTCTTTTTTAGTAATTAAATTGGACCTTAGAGATAAAAGGAGGGTTGGGGGGAGCTTTTTCTTCCCTAAATGATAACTAGTTTATCAATGTCCTGCATTAGGACATTTTGTGTTCTCTTGTGACAGGAGTTTACTGTGGATCACAAATTTCTGGTTTGAGTATACAGAAACAGAGATGGTTTGGGATATTTATTAGTCTTTACCCTTTTATTAATTTTATATTTTATCCGATTTTGCATATAAAATAAATCTCCTTAAATCGATTTTCCCTCATTTCCACATAATGCAAGTCAAGGTCAAGTTTCTTTTCTTAGATCTCAATACAACAATGTCATTTTGTTGAAAATAGATAAGAGTACGAGCCAATTAACAAAGTTGAGACCCATGGGAGTCCCACTCGGGTCTGTCTTGGGTGCTCATGATGATGGGATTTAAACTATGGATGGTCAAGATTTAACATTTTTAATTTATAATTATAATTATATTTTATAATTATTAAAATAAAAAATTATTTATGACATTTTAATTTATAATTTTAATTTTATTTTATATTTATTAAAATAAAAATTTATTTATTTCATTAATAAATAGTTATCATCAATTAGGACAGTGCAAATCTAATTTGAATAGTTAATTTAATTTTAAAATTTTTATATATTGATTATTTAGATGTGCTCGGTACACTTCAAATTTAATATTAAAATTTTTTATAATTTTTTATTTGAAAAAATAAAATATATAATATTTTAACTAGAATTTTTTAAAAAATATTTTTTAAAAAAATTATAAGTTAAAAATTTTAAATTTAGATTATACAAAATACATTAGATAACCAATATATAAAAAATTTTAATATTAAATTAGACATTTCAGATTAAATATAGACCATATTAATCATGAAAAGATTTATTAAAAATTTTCTTATAATTTTTATAAATTTTTAAGTATTTTAAAAAATATAAAATTAATTATTTAAATTTAAATTATCCAAATTAAAAAATTTGAACGGTCCATATTCCTCACCCATGGTGCTCATCACCTTGATGAGCACCAAGATAAATCCGTTCCACTCAGGTGATGAGCACCAAAGATAAATCCGTTCCACTCAGTGTATAATTTGAAGAACCCATTCTCACAAAGAGACAAGTAAATGCTTAGGCTTTTGAGGATAAATTGAAGCTGCAATATCCTGCCTTGTAAAATTAACATCATTAATTAAATACATTGATTCTAATAAGAGTTAAGGGTCATTTTTGCATACAATATTAGATTTATGATTACCTTAAACTCAATTATAGATCAATTATATCTCTTAATATTAGAAATTCATTATCTTGATATCATTGACATTAACTGTCTCTTCTCTTCTAACGTGAGTCCTACATTTAAATTTTTTAATATTTTTCATTATATATATTATATAGTAGGTCTCACATTTGAACTTTTTTAATATTTTTATTTTATAATAAAAAATATTTTTATTTTTCATTACAAATATTTTTTATTTTAAAAATTCAAATGTGAAACCCACACGGGACAGGAGAATAATATAAAAACTATCAAGATAGAGAATTTTTAATATTGAATAATATTACCTCATAGTTGAGTTTAAAATGTTTTTAAACCCTTGAAGTAAACTGGAATGCAAAACTAACTTTGAACCCTTCTTATAATGCCGGATCTGAGAAGCAACCTCGGAGTGGAATAATTTCTTGTGTTGAAAAAGTCCCAATTTAACTCCACCAAGCACTCTGTGGGGCTATAATAATGGTAATAAAGAAAGAACCATCCTTTTCAACTTAGGCACAGACCCTCTTTCACTTTACCAACTCTTCCTCATCCTCCTGAAGCTCCAAGAAGCAGTCATGGAGATGGGATTGCTCTATCAACGACACAGAAGCAACTAGCAAGCTGGCTAGCTGTTCATCGATCATTTTCTTGGTGATGGGATTGAATTTGAAAGAACTTGCCATCTTAATAAAGTTATCATAAAGTGAGGCCTCTTTCAGGTGGTTGTGTACGGATTGGCGTTTTACAGGTATGGATTTTGACGATGGAGCTGAGAAGGAAGAATATGAAGTTGGTATAAAAATGTCAGATGGGTTTTCTATTTCTGGAGCTACCTTGGCTTCTATGGAGTCTCTGTCTCATCCAATAGTATGTTCTGTTTCTTGCTTCCTCTCTCTCTCTCTCTCTCTCTCTCTGTGATGACCAGAGATTAATTGATTTGGAGGTTGAAGATGAAGATGATGATGGGTTTGGATTTTTGTCGTGAAATCAGGTTCAGAAGGTGGTTGTTTTTGCTGATATGCAATGTAAGAATTGCCAGAAGAGAGTTTCTGACATTATCACAAAATGAACGGTATGTTCCTTTCCTTTAATTCGTGGGACGTTGCATTACTTTTCAGTTAACTGGTTTTGGTTAATTGTGTTAGAGGATTAGTATTTTCAGATTTTGCATTAAACTTGTCTATGTCCACCTTCAGCAGCTTAACTTTTCTATGTACATATACTATGAAACTAGTTAAGGAATTTCCTGAAAATACCCTAACTCATCAATTTGTTTAATTTTTTTATTGGCAAAATATTATTTTAACCCCTAACTTTGTTTGAGAACAACTCTGTTCTACTAATGATGTTAGATTTAGTAAAAATAGTTCCCCACAATATAATGAAAAAATTTGAATTCTCATAAAGAAAGTTGTTTAAATTAGTGCTCGATATGCCTTAAATGAAATTGCACTAATACTCAATAAAAAAAAGAATAACTCAGTTCTAATAGTTTGTTGATTCAAAATAACTCAATTTTTATAATTTTTTAACCTATTACAATCCATTCTTTATAATTGATTAGCTCAATAAATTATAAGAGATATGTTATACCATGTCAAAGTTCAAAATTAAATTGATACTTGAGAAAAAAATTAAAGAGTAAAAGTTACATTATAATTTTTTTGGTGAAACACTGAAACATCGGTTTTAATTTTATTAGAAAACCTTATAATCTTATATACTTAATATTATATGTTGAATATACTTAATTTTAATTAAATCAAGCTATGTTGATTCTTTATATATTATTTATTCTATGATGAAATCTTATTATTAATATTATTACCATGTTAAAATTCAGGTATTGTGATTCAATTGGATCAAAATACATTGAGCATATAAGGTGAAATACCTTGCCCTAATTTATTTGTTAAGTGACCATTTCAAAGAAACTTCTTTTTTTTTTTTTTGGAGTATTATGGGTAAGAATATCTTGAAACAGGCTAAAGAGGAAGAGAAGTAGGGAAGAGTTTAGACCATGTGATCCTTGATACTTGCCACCATTAAATAGGCTGGCAATGACAAAATGTTTTGGAATATATAAGCTGTTAATTTATGATTATCACTGTAATTATTACCTTTTGATTCAGATATTCTCTTGTCTTTTAACTCATTTTCCCAAATATGCCAAAAAGTTAAAAAAAAAAAAAAAGTTCCTTTGTCACCTTCTGATGACTTTGAGCCTTCTCTTAGTTTACAAGCTGGCTCAGCATCTTATTTGTTCTATAAAACCACAAGACAGAACCACTGCTGTCAAAAAGTTTGTTTTTATTCACTAAAGAAAGACCTTTTATTTTCTTTTTTTTCTTGAAAGATTTGGAGTTAGTTTTGTTAATTAGCTTTACCTCTGAGAATAATTAAAATTTTAATTATAAATTATTTCTTATAAATAGACTTAAAAGGTAGTAACTTATATCAATGATTAATTAACTTGCTAGCTATTTAAAAATGTAAACATGGATAACTGGATAAATTCTTTTTTTTTTTAAGCCAGGTTACATTGTAAATTTTTATTTTAATGTCTCAAAAATTTCCGAATGAAAGGATGTCATTTTGGGTTTGGCATGATTGATTACATTTCTATAGTTCAAATATTTTTCCAATTAAATTACAGTAACTAGCTTATAAATTTAAAAATAAGTTAAAACAATAGGTAGTGAGATCACAAACGATGTGAAAAATATATATATATATATATATATATATACTTATTCCAAAAAGAAGAAGTATCTTAGGCATATGATTTTTTTTGTCTAAAAAAATATACCCCTTTTGCTAAAAAATATAAGATATTTTTTAAAAAATTAAATATTAAAAAATGTAAAGCATTTTTATTCTTTTAAGGTGAAATTATTATTCTTTTTTCAAAAATACCTCTATTAGTTAGTGATTTTATATTTATTGCAAGGTGTTTCATAGGGATAAATATGAAAAAATAATGTTAGTTAAAAAGTAAGTAATTACTTTATTGAGAGGTGAAATTCAGTTAAAAATATCTTATATTTTTGTAAATACCCAAGTTTGGTTGGTTTTGTGGCTTAGGGTGATTACATTTTTTTAATAATAATCTTGATAACATAAGCAATAAAAACTTTTTTTAAGAAGTCAACTAATATAAAAATTCAGTAGAGCTCAAGCATCTAAATTCTAAATCACTACTTCAATATTTTATTTTATTTTAAAAATAAAAATTATACTCATGACTCCTAGGACGAGCATAGGATGGTCGTCTCTTAATTTCTATCAATCCATATTTTATATTATTTCATGCTTACTTTTTCCTGTATTTTCCATTTAATAGGTTCAAAATGAAAAACAAATATACTTGTCAGCCTATTAATTTCTTGTTTTTTTAAAAATAAAGTCTTAACTTCAAAAACTATAGATAAAATATTTTAAATTTCAATAATTGAAATTAAATTTGAATAATCCAAATATCAATTTAAAAATGAACATGTAAACGACTTCTTGAAATAAGTACATAATGTGTGGACCCTTATAGCAATATATGATAGTGAAAATATTCATGTAGTTCATGATTATTAATAATTTGATGTTAGAAATTATGTTGATGAGACTAAGACAAGGCAAAAATGAATGAATTGGATCAGCAGAGACAGAATCATTGGAAGTGAACGTGTTGGAAAAGAAGGTGACTCTCACTTTTAGATTACCAACGATTGGTGAAGTGATGCAACAGCGCCAATTAGCTCCAATCACTCGCACTTCACTCCCTAAAGCTGCCCTCATCAAACGCTTATTTCGCTCTCTTCATATCCTTCACTGAGCAAGTCCTCGTGCCTTGTTCGGATTTGGATTCTCTCCATTGCTCAATTCTTAGAATAGGTAAATCCAATGACCATGTCTTTTCACATAAGCAATTTCAAGAATCAATTGATATTTTGTACTTAAATTTTCTTTCTATAGAATAAATGATTGTCCTTTTTCTTAAAATAATGTTTCTCTTCATGTAATATTTTTTTTCTTGTAGAAAAAATTAAACTGAACACTGGCATAATCACACAATGAGAAAAAGAGATTTGATGAGTTTTGATTACTTTCTTTTTTCTTTTTGGGTTTTTAATCCCATCAAATCGGCCCACAATCACGCTCCTAGTGGGGTTAGAATTTTGAGGTCTATATATGATTGGACCCAATGCTCTAATGATTGAGGAATCTTTTGTATACTCATATTTTTTTGCTTTTTTTTTTTAATTTAAAAATAATAAATAAGCATCTTGAAAAAAAAATTAATGTCAAGTTAAGAATTTTAATATTAAAACAGAATAGAAGAAGTACTGAATTTGAAAACTGTAACTATGAAAAAATTTTAATTTAACATTAATTTTTTATGGGGGCCTTCTTGTCATTTCCCTTTTTTTTTTTTTTTACGTCTCAAATCTCGATATGTAACATTAGTTTCGGAATCTTCTGATTAAAGATCCTAATCAAGTCTCGTGCCTTTATTTAATTTGGCGCAACTTTGCTACATAGGTTTCTCAATTATTATTTTTTAATGCTTACAGCCAAATTGGATTGAATATTGAGTTTGGCTGCTTTGAATAACCTGACGCGGAGAACAATCATAAGTATTAAAGAATGGTAAGGAAACCTTTTTTTTTTTTTAATTCCTGAGTTGTCGTCCACTAATGTTTTCCAGCTACGTATTTGATACATGGAACATTAAGAAAGACAATTTGTTTGCCAGGCATTAAGAAAGACAATTGACGTTTTAAATTTTACTGCAACACTTAACAAGCATTATGCGATAGACCAAAAAATTTAACATGTTAAGTCTATGAATCGAGTTAGTTTTTCTTAATATAATAAATTAAAGTTTAAATTTTTATTAAAAAAAGTGATCGACATTTATCTTCTGTTTGGAATGATAGGAAAATATGAAAAAGATAAAAGTAGAAGAAAAAGATATTTTTCCCTCTTTTAACATAAAGTTTTTCATCTTTCCAAGAGAAAATTAAAGAGAAACAATGGTTAAAAATGTCGTTTTCCTCTATTTTCTTTCTATTTCAAACAAAACTTTAGTACACGTTGGTACATAAAAAAATATTCTCTAAAGATGAAATGGGAAATGTATTTTAAAAAAATTAATATATCTCTCATTTTTTTCCTAAAAAATATTTTTGTACCCTACCAAACTTTACATTGAATGCTCGGTGTCTTAAACAGGATTAATTACCTCAAATAGAGGACACATGCGCACGATCCAAAAAAAGAATCTTGGAGAACAAACTGTTTTTAGCCCTACGAAACAAGCTCTGGAGAGAATCATGAATCAAGGGGTTATATATGCCAAGCTTTGGAAAATATAAGAGATGCTTTTACAAGCTGAGTTGGGTATAATTGATCAAACCATGTGCATGAAGGAAAACATGATTCCTTATATCAAGCTTTAGAATGAAGTGAAGGATCATGAAAAGACTTGCAAATAAACAACTTCCACTTGCTTAGTCTAACCGGAATCAGATTCAGATTCTAAACTGAAGAGAAATCATGAGATCGCATTTCTTTGGAATGAAACAATTCGAAACAACATTGTCATTCTCAAACTGTACAAAATTGCCTCTTCACGAGCCAAGCCTAAAAAAAATCAATGGTTCTGTCAAATCTAGCTTCATGGCAAGGGAGGGTTTTTGTTTCTATTTCTAGGATTGCCGTATGTGGGACTTTTATATATGGGATTGATGATTTGTGTTTGTGGTATATGTTTAATAGTTATATTGACAAACTCACGTCTTCTCCAATATCTGAGTCAGGCCTTTATTCCATTTTGTTGAAAGAGACGTTACTTTTAGGGCTGTATTAGTGAATGACATTCTATTCACATTATTTTTTGGATAAACATTCTATTTAGACTTTAGACTTAGTGGATCAAACAGCGCTCGATGAACCCTTATCTCTCTCCACCTAAAGAGAAATAGACTTGGATAAGATTCGAATAATACGTTTGCCTTTTCGCTTTGGTGTGTCCCGGAGCATATGTTTTCCCAAAATCAATGGGTCCAAAACATTTTAAAAGAATAGGGTTAAAGTCTATTACCTCTGTTAAAAAATATAAAATATTTTTTAAAAAGTTAAATATTTATAAAATATTTTTAATCTTTGAAGGTGTAATTATTATCTTTTTTTAACAAAATGTACCTATTGATAGTGACTTTATATTTATTATAGGGTATTTAATAGAGATAAATATGAAAAAATAGGATTAGTTTAAAGTAGATAAATATTTTATTAGGAGGTGAGATTCAGTTAAAAATATCTTACATTTTAATACTTCATTTGCCATGCAGCCATGTAAAACCCTTGTAGTTTATTTGGTTTAAATTGTAAGAAATTTTTTTACTGTAGAATACTAATAAAATTTAGTTATTTATTTATCCTCATTAAATATTGATGATCTAGAGCACTTATGGCAATAAGAGTTTGAAGGCCAAACAACTAAAGACTTGTTAAAATAACTTTCAAAAGTACATTTAAATCATTCCCGGATAGTACTTTTGCCAAATTCAACATATATTTTGATCCTTCAAATATAATTTTACCAAATATAAACTGAAAACCAAACATATACTAAAATTGATGAATATGGTTGTTCAATTTTTTGGATCTTGATTTATAGAGGATATTTTATTTGTGATATTGAAACTTAGATATTGGGCATGATTTAAGATGTCAATTAGAGGTGAAAATAAGCCAAAAGCTCTATTGGTAGTCCATGGTCTAGCCTAATTAGGGCCTAATCTATTTAAGAAAAAGGCTAGGTTTAAGCTTACAATCTTTCCCATTTAAGCAGATAGGTCAATTCTATCAAGCCAAAATTGTTGGCTTATCAAGCCTGTCTGTTTATATTTTTATATTATATTTATATATAAATAAAATAATACACACACACATTTATATAAATATATATAATATGATACATATATTCTCTCCATTAAAAAATGTAAGGTATTTTTTAAAAAATTAAATATTTAATAATGTAAAGCATTTTTAGTCTTTCAAAGTGTAATCATTGCCTTTTTTTTAAAAGTGCCTCTCTTGATAGATGACTTTATATTTATGGTAGAATGTTTGACGGGGGTAAATATAAAAATATAGGGTTAGTTTGAAAGTAGATAATCACTTTATTGGGGGTAAGATTCGGTTAAAAATGCCTTATATTTTTTAACAGAAAGAGTATATATATAAAAAATATAATTAATTTGATTTTTTAAAATTTTTATAAGTTGAAAATTAAACTAATAAATAAAACAAAACTTCAGTTTATGTTATATTAATTAACTACTATAGTAAATATGGGGCCAAAAAATAACTATTATTATAAATATAAGTAAATATTTTTCCTCCCCTATATAAATAAATAAATAAATATCCAATATTTTGTAATATAATTTAATTAAATTTTATTCAAAATATTAAAGTAAACAAACAAGATTGCATGAGCGTACAATTTAGGTTGTTTAAACTGTAGCCGGACTTGAGAAATTCTCAGATGAACCAAGTGCTTCACGTCATTCATGATTTATTCAATAAAAACATGTTATGTTGTATTAATTTAATCAAATAAAATTTTATATACCATTATTTTTAATGACTTTATTTGTTGAATAGAGTGTCTCTTTAATTTGTTAGCTTTTCTCTCTTTATCATTGTCGACAAGAGAATCAATTTACATTTATAGCCATCTAGCATGGGATGTTTTTATTGAAAAAATTATAAATAATGTAATACATCTGATCCATCCAAGAATTTCTCAACCTAATTTAGCCTTTTTAACAAAAAAGCCAAAATTAAACTTATAATTAAGTCTATTTACATAAATAGATCGGCCTTATTTTCATGTGTAATATCAATGGTAATTCTCATATGCTTTGGAATCTTTCTCATTAAATAAGAGTAGCCTTTTTATATTATAAATATACATTTCAAATAAAACCTATGCAATGATTCCATTTGTATGACGGGCATACTCTTAAACACTATTTCTATTACATTCTCTTTTTCCTTTTTATTTTCACTTCTTTTTCTTCTTAGTTTTAAAAAATCTCCAACGCATTAAACATGTATTAGATTTTGATTTTTCCTCATCTCGTGAAGGGTGAAATGGGATTTTTCTCCCTTAGTACAAACGAATTAGAGCCTTAATTTCATTATACTCTAACCAGACATGAAATATGATTTTTGCATAAAAAGTGTGAAGCTAGAAGAAAACAAGAAATCCATCTCATGCAAGGATCCATCCACTAATCCACTTTTTGAAAAATATATTATATATTGTCCAAATGTCTTACAGTTTTTGTAAAATTATACAGACAGTATTTTTTTTTTTTCGGGTGAGAATTTTGTTATTGAACTAGGAAGTAACATAATTTTAAATCAATCCCAAAAAATTGTGAAATTATACCGTAAGACCAATGGATTAAATTAGAATTATATTTTATACTGGAAAGACCAAAATACTCTTAGAATTTTTTTTAAAATAAAAATCCACCGTCGCCAAAGCTTCAACTATTGGATTGCCACCTCCGGCTGTCGAAGCTCCAATTGTCGTTGGCAGAAGTAATTCCTCAAAGGTGATGGCGTGCACAAAATTTAAACATGTAGCAAATACATGAATCTTACACAATATAGCGAATCAAAGTCATCTTACAAGGAACTAATTGAAAGGAATTGGCATAAATGAAAGTTGTTTTTGTCTCAATTAACTTATCCAATCAAAAAGTAAAATTTTAATTATATTGAAAATATGAATAAAATAAAATGAAGTCAAAGAATATATCCAAAATAAGATTAACAATTAAAGAGCACTCTAAAAATTATAGTCCCTTTTTATACTTTGTAATTCAATTTCTTCTAGGACTCATTTGTTTAAAATTAAAAAATAAGTAATTTTTAGTTAGTTTAGAGATTTTATAAAAAAATATTTATTTTATAGAGATTTTATAAAAAGCAAACA